TGTGGTAGTTCCATCCCTACATCCAGCTCACACCAGGTGGTAGTTCCATCCCCACATCCAAGCTCACACCATGTGGTAGTTCCATCCCTATATCCAGCTCACACCATGAGATAGTTCCCCCCCTACCATCCAGCTCACACCATGTGATAGTTCCCATCCCTAGATCCAAGCTCACACCATGTGGTAGTTCCATCCCTATATCCAGCTCACACCATGAGATAGTTCCCATCCCCACATCCAGCTCACACCATGAGATAGTTCCATCCCCTACCATCCAGCTCACACCATGAGATAGTTCCACCCCTACCATCCAGCTCACACCATGTGATAGTTCCCATCCCTACATCCAGCTCACACCATGTAGTAGTCCCATCCCTACATCTAGCTCACACCATGTGGTAGTTCCATCCCTGCATCCAGCTCACACCATGTGGTAGTTCCATCCCTACATCCAAGCTCACACCATATGGTAGTTCCATCCCTACATCCAAGCTCACACCATGTGGTAGTTCCATCCCTACATCCAGCTCACACCATAAGATAGTTCCCATCCCTATATCCAGCTCACACCATGTTTAGTTCCCATCCCTACACCCAAATCACACCATGTGGTAGTGCCATAAATTCATGAACACCATTATACTTTCATTTTTTCTTAAAACTGTATCTGCTTCAAGAAGTAACCTACCTCTAGATTTAGTGAATAAATCTACCCCACACATGACCCTCATGATTTCCACATTTTCCAGACTGACATCTTACATTTTAAAAATGTGCTTTTCTTGAAAAAGTAAACTAAGACAAGGTAAAAACACTCAAAACAGTGCAATGCCACTTGTTGAATATATGACTGTATAGCCCTCTTCATGCCTATGGCCCCATCTTCAGAAGACCTCTGTACCAAATAGCAGCCAGGGCTTGAGTTACCAGGCAGCAGAAGTCCGACCATAGAGAAAAGACCTCTCAATACTACTAGTCACAGTCCCTCAGAGGAAAGGGCACAGTCAGAACAGCAATGTGGGAAACCTATCAGTTAAAGTTCATTCCATGCACACAGAGCTTCCAAGTTGTTCTGCATTAGGACTAGGTAACAACCATTTGAGATGGGATCCTAAGACAGAGAGCTCCTGGAGGCATTTCTAAAAGTATAAAAAGTTTACATATTACTTCACGTGTTACAATGTGTTAACAATATGTATTTAGTCCTGGAGGTGAGTCTGGGATGAATTAATAATAGGTAAAGGAGAACTACACAAAAATTAAGCAGACTGAAAAGGGGAAAATTATTAACTCTAGGGAAAGTAAGATGTTTAAGGAAGGAAATATAGTAATGGATGTTGCACTAATTGATTTATAAAATTATGCTCTAACTATACTGAAAGGATGCGGAAAAGGAAGAGAGAGAGAGAGTGTGTTTGTGTCTTAAAAGGGGTTTGTGTAATAGAGCCAAATTCTCATCTCCATTGTAGGAAGTCAACAGTAATGTACTAAAAATAAATTCAATCAAGAAATACTGGTATAAGCATGTTATCTTGAAATATGAAGGCAGGTGCCAAAAGGAACTGTGAAAAAATTAGAAAGCGATCGCCTCTGAGGAGCAGAAACGAGGAAAGAGGAATGCTGTGTTTCACATAAACCCTTTGGAGCACTCTGACTTTTAACAAATTGTACACATAACTTTGAGAAAGATATATTAAAATATAATTCTTTGCAAGAAAAGTGTGTTTTTATCATAGACAGAAGCATATCGTACCTCCTTCTATACCTTGATGTGTTCCCATAAAAGTATCTTGTAGAATCATCTCATATCAGCATGATAAATGAACTTCATTTTTTCTCATAGTTACATACTATTTCATTTACTAGGTATATTTTTGACATGCAAATTTATAAATATATGTATTGGGATATTACTATCCCAGAAGTAAAGTTCTAGATCAAAACTCTGAGATATTTGTGTTTCCCTCTGAACATGTATAGCTTTGTCAGCACTTGCCTCGCACACTTACCAACACTGTATACTATAGAACCACTGTCTTTTCAACCTGGTAAATGAAAGGATGTATTGTCATTATTGCTTTATTGCATTTTTAAACATTTATTTTTCTAAAAACTGTCTACTAAATCCCAATTAAAAGAAAATCTATATTCATTCAGATCCCTTCTCCATCCTCTTCTTCTTTTCTCTTTTCTTGTGTTCATAAACACGTGTCCTTCTCTTCCTTTACAAGACTGACACAACTTATCTTTTCCAGAAAACTTTTATAATAATGTTTGTACTGTCTCTGAGCACTGTATATTAATATGCATTAAGTCACAATTTTAGATATATTTCCCAGTTTAAGATGTGTGTCAAAAATACTGATTGTGATATAAAGAGAATTATAAAGATATACAAAGTAAAGAGAATTATATCTTTGCAGTGAGTTTCATCTTACAATATTTCACAGAATTTAAGATGTGACTCATTGCAAGACATACCATCATTTTATGACTTACTTATAAAGAAAAGAAAAAAAAACTATGCTTTCTTATCGCTAAAATTTTTATTATATACTTATTGACTATTACACAATTGGTATTTTTACATCCTTTGGAAGTAAAAGCAGTATGTAAAAATGTTAATTTATTGTATGGCTATAAAGAGTAGGATAATGAGTGTATTTTGAAAACTGGTAAATTTCTAAGAGTCATCTTCTTAAGATGATTCCTACAAAAGAACCAAAATTAGTACCAAAGGGGCTGTGTTGGTTTAATTATTTTAAGCCATTTAAGCAATCACTTCTGTAGAGCAAAACTGATACTCCATTAAGTCACATGTAAACTTTCTGAAAGCTTCTCAGTACCAATGACCACATTATATACAGTATCAATGCCTATTGTACATTTTGAGAGGCTTTATGGCTCTGTGATTTGTTTATCTACAGACGTGTTGTGATTAATTTCATTGGCATGTAGTATGATAGCAGAGGGTATGAAACCAATGGAAGTTTGGTAACCAATAAACAGTTCCGAAGTTTGGAGGTGACAATTTTTTAAAAAGACATTATACCACAGATAAACATAAAAGCAAGGTACTAAGTTTCTTGATTCAAGAGCAGGTATATTTATTTTCAGATAATATAAGAATGTAAGGTTGCTTTACAGCTATATTTTATAATAAGAACGATATATTGGAACTTAAGTTAAATGATTTTCTTAATATTAAATGATTCTGCGAGGTACCATAAATCTTTCATCATGTAGACTCTCTGTAAAGAGGATAATACTAAAATTTTATGTATAACTTCACCTTTCCAAAGAATAATTTGTAGAAGGAAATTCTGAAAATACTAGCATAAATGTATTTAGTATATTACTATTTTCAAAGCGCTTAAGATTTTTCATTTGATATAGACAACAATCCAAAGAGTTCTTTTTATCTCTCATTTTAATTAGAGGGTGAAAGTTTATGAGTGATAATATGTAGGGAATCATTGTAATTTACTATTCTTTTCCATTTTAATTGACCAGAATATTTCATTTATTCCAATTTTAATATTATGCTACAGTCTTATAAACAAATGAATATCCATTCACTCTGATAAGCAATTATGAATAAAGATCACAATGTAGTATTCCTTGGGAGAATGACAGAATTATAAATAATTTTAATGAGCTAATTTAGTTTTTAATGTGCATTATAGGACTTTCTTAAATGGCAATTTTTCCATGTATGCAAGATAATATAACTTATAGTCAAAGATAAAAGTAAACTGAATTTTTCAATTATTTTAGATAGCAAATAATGTTGAGAACATTCAGGTAAGGTAACATAGACCAGGGTATGTTAAATGAGTGAATAGGCATTTTCATTTAGTCAATCAATTGACTCAAACTTGAAAGAAGGTGAAATTAAATTATTATACTACATAGAATCCTCACATTTATGAATCACATTGCTACATCAACGTAATAAATAGTATCAGATAAAGAATGTAAAAAGTCAAATACATAGCCAATGCTAATAACATTTTCTTGGAAATAACATTACTTTTATAAATAGGCTGATTCACAGCTATCAATTTCACATTTAATAACTTATAAAAACAAAGTCAGTATTTCCTGTTTTCATATGCAAAAGCAAGGCAATAGCTGGAGTGTGTACAAATGACATCAAATACATCTTGGAAAAGAAGATAAGCGTATATATCTTCTACATAAAATACATTAACATATTAATTTAAACTTATTGTTCTACTTTTGTTGTATAGCAATCTTTTATAAATGAAACTTTTCAATTGAACAGATTTCCATTAAGTACCATCAAATTTTCTCCATGTGAAAGTCTAATGTTGCTATTTCTTAAACAGTTTTTCTTTTATCTTTTAATACATATTCTGAAATAATGAAGTACATTAAATTATTCATTCTTACTATTTGTTATCGCTTTTGCAGGTGGTCCTTTTGCAAGAAACAATATTAACTTCTACCTAATATTTACATAAGTCCTTAAACCATTTTATATTAGTCTTTTACAGTACTCATTTGGATGCTATAGACATTTATTAACAATGTGCAATAAGTTACAAATTGTAAGATATGATTTTTAGATGAACAAAAATAGATCCAGAGACAAATGGCAGGGGAGGTGGGAAGGGGGGTTAGAGAGCAACCAAAGGACTTGTATGCATGTGGAAAAAGAAGACATATGTAAAACTTAAGATAAAAAAAAGAAAAAAAAAGATATGATTTTCCCTAGTGCTATTAACGTACACCATCTGTAATCAGGAGCAGCATCATGTTAAAACAATAATGACAATGAAGGTGACTGATGCTACAACTACCACTATTCTACCACCAACATAGGATGATTTTTGAGAAAAAAAATCTACATATTAAATTTCTTTACTGTATACATAAAAGAATACTAGACATTCTGTTGACTTTGATATATGAATAAAAACTTCAAAAAAAACTTTATATGACTCAAATAATACCTTGTTAATTTAGTAGTTTTTAAAAGATAAAAGTACAGTGTAAATCATTATATTGTATAGTATTTTAATTTCTATTTGTTTTTCAGAACACTTTCAATGTAACTGAACATTAGATAAATAATAGGGATTTATCAACAATTCTAAGTCCCAAAGCTAAATCTTAAGGAATATTCATTTTCTTAAAATAAGTTCACAGTCTAAAACCAAAAAAAAAATGTCACTGTTCATTTTTAAGTGATCTAGATTCCAGGAGTCATACATTATTTTGAGGTTAGGCAAATTTCTAATAAATTTTAAAATATTTAAAATACATTCTTATATAGTCAGTGGAAGTATCTATGTACTTCTGAAAGGAATGAAAAAGTGCAAAGTTCAGTAAATCAAGGCAAGAGCTTAGCCAGATAACATACAGCATTTGTAGTTAGTATGAAGATGCATTTTATCTGTCTTATATTCAAGAATTCAGTTCAAGAAAAAATATAATTAGCATTTCACCTTTTCCTTCATTTCTGTTTTCTGAAATTACTGCTTCTTGCATTTGTTATGTAGATAAATTCTTTAAACTTTGCTTTACAAGAACCTAATTAAAAAATATAAGCAATATTTATTTAGCATGAAATTCAGAGGTGATGGCATTAATCAAATATTATTATGATAATAATATGAAACAGTAAGGCACATAATAAAAACACCAAACAGAAAATACAAGGATCAAAAGACTTAATCATAAAACATTTCTTTTAATTTAAAAGTTCAGTGTTTTGTTTAGTAACTTGTCTAGTTCTCAGTCCTTTCAAGGTCTAGAAAAAATGTAGTCCTTTTTATCTATGGTTCTATGAACTACAGCATAGAATCAATAGTGTCAGAGTGACACTTTGACAAATTAGTTGAGTACACTACCTATATGAACATATACATGGTATGGTCCTACGTTTTCTAATGTTCAGTTTAAGTTCTTACAGGGCAGTATCAAGTTCTTTAAAACAGAGATCAGGAAGATGGTTTGTTAGTTCAGTCACAACAGTTATCACCTCAGATGAATGATTAGCCTACTTGCCACTAAACAGTTTAGACCAGCATTTCCCAGGATGGGCTCCATAAAACATTAGGCCTCAAAGCTACTTTGCGAAGTACAGAGTACTGCCGTTTTCTTTTAGAGACACAAATGCATAATAAAATCCCATAAGTTCTAAGGAGGAAGGAACCTATTTAACTATGTTTATTATATTTCTCTAACTTATTTAACTAAACTTTTAAAATAATATGCATCAATATCGCTTGGAACAATTTTGGTAATACTGCTATAACAAATATAAATGTTTCCAGCTTGAAAAAACAGCAATAAATGTATTTTTGCAATTAGAGACCTACCTTATTGGAACCCATAATCGACCAACATTTTATAGTTATAGGTGACTTATAGAAGAGAAAAGGGAAAACAAATCGCTCATTTTGGAGATCAGCAACAAGTATGAGACATTTCTTTGGGTTGAACAAACTGAATGAGCCTCCTATATCTTCCTCACCTATGGCATTCTACAGGATAGTTTAGAAAATAATAAGATGTCTTTGCCATCAGACAGAATGAGGTTCAAACCCGAGTTTGCGACTTATTAGCGCATGTTTTCTTGGGCAAATGACTCATTAAGCTTCTATTTTCTCGGCTGTTAAACGGGATATCTGTGAGGATTAAATGAGAGTCTACAGGTGGAAGAACACCTAATGTAGTGCCAAGCATCTAAAATAACTCTACAAAGATTAGCTTCTATTATTGTAGCAGACATTGGGAATCACGATCCTAAAAAATAGTAAAAAATATTCCTTAGATGTTAATGATTCTACATTATAATAGTCGAATATGAAGTTATTATTTTATGTCTACTCAGATACAAAGTTGCAGGTTAAACAGAATCATTTTCAATCAAGACATTTCAAGAGAATAGCAATTGGATGAGTATTTAAATCCAGCTTATTTCACACCTTAATAGAGGCAAAGTAGTTCTTTGTTATAATGATTAAGTCATCAACTGAATTACTAAATAAAATAAAGTTACTAAAATAAAATCATTAACAGAGTAATTCTTAGTTTGAATTAGTGACCTAAAAATTAAAAATAAAATGTATTTCTCTTAGTTATTTCCTAAATGTCACAGCAGAAAAATAAATCATGACCCTTCCTTTATTGTTATTGAACAATTTAGACAGAGAAGCTAACATACTTATCTGCTATGCAGTTCCTTCTTCAGACAGGATTTGAAAGTGGGATACTTCTGAACTGTTTTATAACCCTGTGGAACAGAGGATTAAAAAATGTAAAAGTCAATGAAATGTTACAGGGCCACAAATATGCAATAAATAAAGCAAAAAATAAAACACACAACATCTAAGAGAAAAATGCAGCATCAGAGGTTTATAGCATAGTTTATACTTTAATTTGATATCGCTACTCTAAAATTTCTGAGAAAGAATAAATAATTTTCAATACATGCCCTTTTAGGTACTTGTGCCATAATTTCAAATGTTAATGACTGGCCGCTAGGTGGCAGTTAAGTACACAGTATCGTTACCAAAACAGCTTGGATTTTAAAAAATCATTAAAAATGTTTAAAAACATTGTCTATGATGAATCTTGATTTTATTGTATATATAACTTTTTCTCTTTTTAAATGTATAATACTTAGGGGTATTCCTACCAAAGAGGGATAACTGTATATTCTAGCTGTTAATAGAAATATTTTTTCTTTTTCCATTTTTGGCACCACCTACAAATATGTTACATATCTAAACATTTATTGATCATGCTATATTTCATTCTTTAAAACATACTTGAGAATAAAAATCTCTGAATTTTTCATATTATTTTACAGTGTAAGTTGTTAATAGGAAGAATCAGCAGACAAAAAATGTTTTTACTTTATTTTCTATATGAAAAGTGCTGAATATACGGTGACTTAAGCATCTCAGTTGCCTAGTGGAAATCTGCATCATGTAAAATGAGAAATAGTGGTATTCCTTTGTATACTAACAAGTTTGATAGCAAGTGTGCAGATTAATTAATAAAAAATATTTGGCAACTTTTGCCCCCACAAATTGGGACGAAGACATTGAACTACTTGATTATGAAATTAAGTTATTAATATTCAAACTGATTTCATATTTAAAAAAGCATTGTCTTTTATCACTTCAAATTGTTTCTGAAAGTAGGTAGGGCCTTATATTTTTCTTTTCAAGTATAACATTTTATGAAAAATGTATATAAATTGTTTCTGAAACTTAGGTGGATTTTTCCCTTTCGGTTTATAAAAATAGTATCAATAGGGTTGAAATATATAGGTTTACCCGAAATCCTCTATGGAGTCTGTCTTTCATAATTCCAATAAATTCTTTATAACTTAATTGATCATCTTTGTCAACATCAAAAATCTTGAAGACTGTGTTCACTAAATGTGGTGAAAGTTTGAGACCAGTAGCCACATAGACAGCACGCTTAAATTCATCTAGATAAATGTTACAGAAAAGGAGTAAGCCATTATTATTTTTATAATATGTATTAATTACTAAAAAGGTTATAAAATACATTTTTTTTTCTAAACACATGGGTCATGGTCTTATGTAACATGATTTTTCATTAATCATGCTATGTTTTAGGAAACAAAAACTTTTTGTAGTTTTTAAAATTTATTTATTATTGAAAGTATAGATGTCCCCACCCCATTGACCCCCTCCCCCCATCTCCTCCACTGCATAGGCCTTCACCACACTATTGTCTGTGTCCATGGGTTATGCATACATGCATGTAAATTATTTGGTTAATCTCTTCCCACCCTGTTCATCATTTTATTTTATTCATTAGATTCCATGTATGAGTGAGATCAGGTGATACTAGTCTTTCTCTGACTGGCTTATTTTGCTTAGCATAATACTCTCCAGGTCCCTCCATGCTGTCTCAAAAGGTAAGAGAGCCTTCTTTTTTACAGCTGCATAGCATTCCATGGTGTAAAAGTACCACGTCTTTTTTTATCCAGCTTTCGTAGTTTTAATTTAAAGGGCCAAGAATAACTGTATTTTAGTTTAATATGCATTCATATTCAATGAATGTTTAAGGAGCACCTACTATCAGTGACAGATACTTTAGTTCTCTTACAGTTCCAATAGGAGATGAGACATCTGCCCAAATAACCATACACAGGACCACACAAAGTACCAACAAAGCACTATGAGAATTTGGAAATGAGTGATTACTTCTGTCTGTAGCGTGGAGTAGGGAA